TTCTAAGTCTTTGATATGTATTATTCTCATTGGTGTCAGCCTTCTTAAAAAATCATTTTCTCAGTTGGATCTGGAAATTTTATCTTTCTCAAGTGAAGATGTATAAATCTCAGAATGACAAACCCTTAATGTATAATGAGAAGTGTATCTATTCCCACAGCCAGGCACCTGTGTGTGCATGGCGCTACCGCCTCCGTGCACGGGAAAACCTGCACGGGAATTCACTTTGAGTCCAGAGGCTGCTTCCTGAGCCTGGATACACGCAGGGTACCTGAGCCGGGAGTACTGCCCAGGTCTGAATGAGCGGGGAGTGTGTGCAACAGGGCTGCATCTTGCCAACCTCAGGGACATAGTCCCAAGCACCCCAATGTAGCAGAGAGCTGAGGACCATCTGGCCTCTGTGACCTGACAGGGATGTGATGAAGTCTTCCTGTCCTCAACTCCTACTCCACACTAACCTCCCGGTTTGAAACCTTTACTGATATACCGGGTTCATCCCTTGCAATCCTGATAAAGTGTTAGCTAATTTTCAAAACAGCCGTAACTTCTCTGCAGGGGAACAACCTTGCCTTTTAACTTATAAATACATTTCTTTTTTAAGGTCACCAATCTGTTTTCATACGTGCATTTTGTTTTGTAATATCCTTTAAACAAACCAAAATCAACGACAGGCCAATTTATTGCACGTCTGTTAGTTTTGAAATAGTGTTGTGCCTTCAAAGAAGACAGTTGGCAGGTAGGACATGGTGGAGGTTGTACCACAGAACACGGTGTGACTTCAAAGGCCATTCGAGCTACCCTGTCATACTCCAGATCACACATGGGTCAGGAGCCAGGGCCAGGGCTAGAGTTTGTGGACCTGGACAGCTGAGGGTCTGCCCACCCTGCCCGTGGTCCCCTGGCTCTACTCTGGCCATCATCCTCTGACCTCCCTCCTCGGCAGGACAGAAGTCTGGCCTTTCCGAGGACATGTTCTTCCACCCTCTGTCATATTCCCTCTGTGACCAGTGCACTCGTGGTCACTGTCCTGGTCAATGTGAGGTCCACCAACTGACTGGCAGGACATTTCTGGGCAAGGGGTGTTGTGGGGAGAATCTCAGATACTCTACCTCCTTGCTAGGACTAGTTCTTGAATTTAGATTTATAATGTCAACAGAAAAGAACGCAAGCTCTGTAAAATAATTGAAGGAGATTTATTCTGAACCAAATATGTGCAACCATGGCCCAGATATCCACACCCAAGAAGTTTTGAGCAAGAGGTTCAGCCGTGTTGGTTACAGTTGGTTTTATACATATTATGGAGATAGGAATAGTTATTACACGTAAAATCATAAATCAAGACATGGAAGGCATACATTGGTTTGGTCTGAAAATGCAGGGTATCTCCAAACAGGGGCATCACAGGTTATAGGTTGGTTTAAAGATGCTTTGATTTGCAATTGGTTAAAGAAATGAAGCTTTGTCTAAAGGCTTGGAATGTTTTAAGTTAAGATGAGGGAGTCCGTTAATGAGAGACAAGCAACCAGACCTACACCTGGGCTCAAGCGATCTATTAAGAGAAGTAATGACCTGCAGGTGTGATTTAACCTTCCTCTTGCATGGCCTTAGGCCTGTTTAGTGAGAGTAACTCCACCGGGAGGGGGCGTAGCTAGGTGTGTCTGAGCTCCCTTCTCCTCATGGCAGGCAACTAGCTTTAAGGTTTTTCTGGGGCCCCCTTGGCCAAGAGGGGGTCCATTCAGTCAGCTGAGGGGCTTAAGATTTTATTTTAGTTCATAATAAATTGTGCCAAAATCCTCATTGGCTAATTTACGTATCTTAGCCAGATGAACGAAGGCTCAGCCCGCAAGGGTCCCTAAAAGGAAACAGACCGCATTTTCTTCACCGTGGCCCTTTTCCGGGCAGTCATTCTCATTCCACTGCTACTGTGCCTGTACGCGAGTGGCTGTCGTGGAGTGTAAGCCTCAGAGTAGTCTTCGAATTGGACGAAGTCCTGGGCTTCCAGTGACAGGCTCTGAACTAAACTCTCGGGTCGTGGCACCTCTTTATGGCCTACCCCGGCAGCCCGCGCTTCCCCGAGCCCGCAGGAACTGGCAGCCAAGAGGCTGAGCTCGCCAGGAGAGAAGGAGAAGGGAGAGGAGCGTTGCTGTTTTAGGATCTGGCTTCTCTCCCAAGCGCCCTGCCAATTCCCTGTCACCTGGCGGAGGTCTGGATGGGGGCGGGGCGGGGGAGGCAGGGGGACCCGCCCGCCGCCTGTGGCTTCCCGGCGCCCGGACCTGGCTGCCCCAACCCGCGGGCCTGGAGGCAGCGGCGGATCGAACTCCAGCTCCTCGCAGCCAAAGGGGCCCAGGGACACAGCCCCGCCTGGAGGCGGACGGGCCTCGCGGGGAGGGACGTGCCCAGGGCAAGACCGCAAGCCAGCCCCGCCTTTCACCGCCCTGAATCTCGCATAAAGTCGCAGCCCAGCCCCGCCAAGGCCCGTCCACGCAGTCCACGGCAACCCGCGCCATGCCGATGACACTGGGTTACTGGGACATCCGCGGGGTGAGCGAGGGGCCGCCTGGGCGGCGGGGCAAGGGCTGAGCAGCGGGGGCGCGCTTGTGGGGACGGCTGCTCTACAGGGCGCGCTGGAGCCGCTGCCTGTCCCTCTCACGAGGGCCT